GGGTGTTGTGCAGTGTCCTGGAGGATGTGGGGTCTGGGAGAAGGGCTGGGTGGGTGGGACCTGGTGTGCATTCTGCTGCAGCTCAGCAGGGGGGGCTGGGGGCCTGGAGGACAGGCCCAGCAGTGCTGCCCTGGAGTGGCCGGAGGAGCTGAGGGGCCCCGTGCTTCAGCCATACCTTGGCAAGAGTGGGTTTGATGGTGCCAGGCCCGCCCTCCCTTCTCCCACCTGTGTGTGCATTGTTGCCAGCCTGCGTGAAGACCAGAGACCTGTGAGGAAGGAGCTCAGGGTGTGTCCCAGCAGGACCTGGGGCTTTGGTCATATCTGCCTTTTTTTGGTACTAGGGATTGAACCCAGAGGCACTTAACCACTGACCCCATCCCCAGCTCTTGTTTTATATTTTATTTGGAGACGGGGGCCTCCCTGAGTTGCTTGGGGCCTTGCTAAGTTGCTGGCGCTGGCTTTGAACACGTGATTTTCCTGCCTCAGCCTCCTGAGCTGCTGGGATTGCAGGCATGCACCACTGCACCTGGCTCATGTCTGTGACATTGAGGGTCCCTCTGAGTCTTGGTTTCCGTAGAGAGCTAATGGACACAATGACCCCTGCCACCCAGCTGGGCTTTCTGGGAGAGTGGGGCAGGATCTCCGGCTGGAGAAAGGTGCAGCCAGGATCTGTGTAGCATCAGCCTCCGTTGGGCAGGGGCTGGATACCTCTTTGACCAAGGATGCTTGTGCCCCATCCCTATTCAGACCCCAAGTGCCGTCTTTAGAAGGGCTCATCCAGGGGGCAGCTCGTGTGCCCTTGGCTGGGCTGTACCAGGCCGAGTCTGTGGCCTTGATCACGTGGCCTCTTCCCTTCCTTCTCTGGCTCGTGGTCACAGGGTCCACCTGCCTGTGGACCCTGATGGGATAAGGAACAGTGGGACTCTGACCCAGGCAGGGGCCTGGTACATTGGGCCTTGGAGATGACCCGTGCTGCCCACTGCCCACCCAGTAGGCAGCGAGAGCTGGACACATAGCCTGTGGGCTGCTGTCGGCAGGGCCGTCTGCTCAGTGTGCTGGAGAAGGTAAATGGGCGCCCGGCAGCTGTCGGTGGGCGATGGATGTGTCTGCGGTAGGGGACCGTGCGGTCCCGCTGTCAGCTGGCGCCTGCTCCCCAGGCCTGCTGGGGCTCACTTTGCTGTGGAGAAACAGCTCGGTGCCGCCTGGCCCCCTGCCAGCTGCCGCCTGTCATCGCCGCTGTGGCAAAGTGTTTATCCAGCAGTTTCCCGAGAACTGGGGACTTTCAGAGGATGTTCATGGAGCTCAGGACCTGGTGGCCTGGTGGCGTGGCTTGGAGGGTCGAGAGTCACAGCAACTCAGGAGGGCCCAGGTGGGGCCTGGGCTGTGGGTGCCCCAGGACCCGTGGCCCAGCGTGGAGAGGGCAGGCCTTGGCCTGTCTTCTCCCCAAGCACCGGCCTTGTGGCCCTGATGGTAGCACTTGGGTTGTGGGAGGTTGGGTGAGGAGACTTCCTGGAGAGGCTGGCCTGCCAGAACCTCAGCCTTCAGCACAGGAGGGGCTGACCCTCAGGGATACTGAGGGACCTAGGGGCTGCAAGGGGATGGGGGACACTGCCCTGTATCCAACTCCTTGTGCCTGGATCCCCAAGTTGTACATGGGCCATGGCGGGTATGGACTTCTGCTGGCTATGTGTATTCTTTCCCTGGGCCTGACAGGACCTGATCTTGGGGGTGGGCACAGCAGGGGTCCCCTCCCCTCCTTGGCTCTTCTGCCTCCGGGGAAGGCTCTAGGGAAACCTGGAGGCTGGTTGATGTCTTGCCTGTGCCCTGCCCAGGAGTCCTGGCATTGGAGCGGGGATGGGCATGGGCCACCATGTCCTCACAGCACACATAGGGTCCTGACTGACTGCCCATGGGAAGTGGAACTGCTGCAGTGCCGGGCTGAGGCCCAGGCTGCGCACTGCACCCGGCATGGACTGTGGGTCCCAGCTGAGCTCCGGGGTGTTGTTGGGGGTGCCCCGGGGCCTGGGGGTTTGCTATGATTTGCCGTCCACCAAGTGGAGAGCAGGAGAAGGCCCTGGTTGTGCAGAGCAGTAGGGACCCTGTCTAGAGGTGACAGCCTGAGTGGCAGTCTTGGCCTTGCAGCTTATCACTGCCTTACATCTGTCTGGAATATGGGCTCGCTGGGGGACCTTGTCCTTCTGCTGCCCTGTGGGCTGTTCAGGGAGAGGAGGACACTGGCTGGCACAGTCCCTCCAGGCTGGACTCCCACCCAAGTGCAAGACATTCAGCAACTGTGATGGGGTATGGAGCTTGGCAGCCAGGGTGAGTGCCCGTACCTCTGGTGACACTAAAGAAGAAGGGTGGCCCCTTTGAGTCAGTCTCTTCCTGTTGGTGTGTGGAGCTTGGTGAGACTGGTGGRGAGAGGCCTGGATCTGGCACTAGAGACCCAGGGGTGGGCAAGTGCTACTCCACAGGCATCCTGTGACCACAAGGGCAGCCATGTCCTCCACCTGTCCATCTTGTGTCACTCAGCCCTGGAGTGAGTGCTGTTGTCTGAGCTGGCTGCTGGCCTAGCCTTCTGTCTGGGCTGAACACATTAACATGCAGGCCATGGCCCATGCTGCAGCTGGCTTGGTGGACACCCTGAGTGACAGCCCGGCTGGACATGAGGTGGGGTGAAGAAAGAGATGTGTGTGTCCTGGAGCCTTGGCCCCAGGGCCCTGCTCCCCTCTGGAGGGTTTTCCTGTGTGTCAAGCTGCTGCATGCAAAGGCCTGCTCAGGTCCTGTCCTTGTCCCTATGTGCACCTGGGTCTCCTGGGCCCAGGGCCTTGAAAGCTGGGAAGGGGAGGATACCGAGCCCCTCCTGAGATCTCTGGGGGGCTGGGCACCCCCAGATCTGGCTCCTAGAACCTCCTGTCCTAGGGTGCTCAGGGGCCATGGGGGGCTGGGACTGTAGAGCACGAGCTGGGAGGAGACAGATCTGGGTCAGGGCTGGGAGCCAGGCGGGCGCACTGAGTGCCGGGTGGTGCTGGGGGCCGTGCAGGGCACACGGGGGGCCGTGGTGGTGGGATCAAGATGGATTTCCGGGGCGAGCGGGTGCGGTGCTCATCAGCCTCTCTGCTCAGTTAGCGTCCTGGGGAGCGGCAGCTGGCGAGATGGGAGGCACTCCATCAGGGGCCGACAGCTCCAGACTGGCGCTGGCGGGTGGGCACACGTGGGGGGTGAGAGGGGCAGGATGGGGTGGGCGTGCAGCCCCCCAGCCGGCTCTGCCTGATCTCTGGAGTCTCTGCTGCCTGCTGCACCTCCCAGGCCCTGAGGCCACAGGGAGGGTCTCCTGGAGGAGCTGCAGGTGGGGTGCGCTGACCTAGGCAGAGCTGGCCCGGGGTTTGTGCTGGGGGAGGCCAGTTGCTGGGGTTTCAGACCCCATTCTCCAGCGTTGGCATTGGCTATTAGGCAAGGCCCCAAGTGGCCATGGGATCCAGGGCCAGAGGTGTTGGAGCTGGGTTGGCAGTTGCCCTGCGGCCACGTGAGCTGTAGGCCAGCAAAAAGCAGGTGACATCTTTCCTTCCTTTGGAGGTACCTTCCCACACGTAAGCTCTGCACAACATCTCGGAGAGCTCCTCCCTGCCCCTTCCTAAGTGCTGAGGACAGGTTCTTGGGCTGGGGGTGTGGCCTGAAAGTGGGCTCTGGCCACCCTGGGGCTGGCCGGGGGCCACTCCCATGACAGGCACTCCCACTTCAGGCCATGCAGAATGAGGCAGGCCTCTGCATTGCTTGTGGAGYGTCTGGCTGCAGTGTCTGGGTAGTGGGAGCCAGAGGGAGGGGGAGCCCAGGGGGTGCACTGTACCCAGAGTTCCTTCGGCCTGCACCTGGCAGGTGGGTGGCCTCGAGGGGGTACAGGCTTCTATGCAGGAAGGAAGTGGCTCCCAGAGGGTCCCAACCCACAGCACTAGGAGGACAGTGCCCCCACCTGGAACACCAGGATGCAGTGTGGCCTTGGATAGAGAAGGCAGGCTGGCCAGGACCCTCAGGGCTGTGGGGAGAGGAGCAGCACCTTTGCCTGGCCCTCTATGACCCATACACCCCAGGAGACGATCTCCATGGGCTGGAGCCTGGTCCCCTGGGTGCCTGGCCATAGCAAGTGTACCGTGCATTGGGGGCCTAAGCACCTAGGCCTCACCCTGCTGGACCCAGTGGTAGATGGCCTGGTGACAGAGCCATTGCTTGTCCCCCACGTCCCTCCAGGTACCCTCGTCCAGAGCTCAGTGTGGCAGGAGGACCCTGCCCCATGGGCCGGCTCCTCTGCCCCCTGCCCAGTGTCCCTGCAGATGAAGAAGTCGCCTCATTAGTGAGCTCCCCGTTGCTCTTCAGACTCCTTGCTCGGCAAAATGTAAATGAAACATTTTTTCCGGGTGTCAGTATGAAAAATGACAGTCACTGTGAGCTCACAGAGGACATCTGCTCTGGTTCCTACATGTGAACGCCTGCTTACGGCTGATGTTGCAAAACTTGAGGGGGATGTTCCCGTGCACCTGGTTGACCCAGGGCAGTCCCAGCCTGGGTCCTGATGCCCACAGTGTCCAGCTCTGGGTGCCTCCTGGGTCTGGTCAATGGACGGTGCTGAGGGGCACCCCATGCCCCCAGTCGGCAGCTCTGCACCTCTGGCTGACTCCGGCACAGAGATCAACTTCTGCCAGGAGTGTGGTGCTGGTCCTCTCCCCTCCAGACACCAGGTTCTGGCTGTGGTAGGCAGCCACACATGCCATTGTCACCTGTGGCTGCCATCTGCCAGACCCTGCGTGCCCTCTGGCCCCTCCCCATTTCCCCATCAGTGCTACTCCCTCAGTCTGGGTGCCCTGGGCCTGAAACACCAGCAAGCCTGCCTCCCCTGGACCCAGCACTGTCACAAGCAGCCCACCCCAGCCTGCTGCCCATGCACATGTCCTGTGGGGTGGGGCCAGGAGGGGGTTGACATAGACCCTCACAGCCCTGTCCCACAGGGGAGTACATCAAGACTTGGCGGCCACGATACTTCCTCCTCAAGAATGACGGAACCTTCATCGGCTACAAGGAGCGGCCCCAGGATGTTGACCAGAGGGAGTCCCCCCTCAATAACTTCTCTGTGGCACGTAAGTGTCCCCCTGGCCACCTTGGGTTGGAATGAGGTGGCTGAGCAGGGCTAGAGCTTTCTGTGCCCACCAAACTCCCTGCCAAGGCCCTCTTTTGGCCTCTGTGTCCCTGGGAACAGGCCTAGCAGAGCTGGCTCCTGTCACCTTCTGTAGGACTGCTGAGAGGCCAATGCTGACTGGGCCCAGGCCATCCAAACTACTTCCCAGCCCTGGTGCTCTTGCTTGGAAGGACGAAGGGTCTCACCTGTGGACAGAGCCTGGCCTCTGGGGAGACTGGGCCTTCCTCTGGTTGGGGCTTAACAGAGTACCAGGGGCACCCACTGGGATACCCCCTGGTGGGAAGGGCACAGAGAGAGAGCACCACCTCCCTTACCCCCAGAGCCCTGGCCTGTGGGGCCTGTTGTGCCTTCCTAGCTTGTGTCCCACCCTCCTGATGGGTGAAGGTGGCAAGGCTGTTCCAGGCTGTCTGCTGGGGGCATCTGCAGGTTCCAGCCCACACGAGCCAGAGTGATTGAGACGTTGGGGCAGGTGTACCTCCCGGTCTGGTCTGCTTCCCGTGGGGCCACCCTGTGGCCCAGTCTTCCCAGGGGCTGGCCCAGGGTGCTGGCCAGGCATGCAGGTGTGACTGTGGGTGGTGAGGGATCAGCTGTGGGACATCTGGAGCAGTGGGCTCAAGGCAGGTCTCTGGGATCCGTCTCGGGCTGCATCTGGATGTGCAGTGTGATGCCCCAGACCTGGGTTCTACCCCTGGTCCCTTGCTCATGTCACCCTTCACACCAGGTAGCTCCGCTCACCCTCCTGGGATCCTGGGTCCTCCAACCCCTCCACCCTGCTTGTCCCTGGGGTTCTGGGGCCTTGGAGGAGGAGATGTACAGGTTGCCACCCCCAGGCTGGATGGGGAAGAACCCCCACCTGCTCCTCACCAGCCCCTCCTGTGTGCCTGGCGCTGGGCTGAGGGGGAGGATGTCAGCAGCCCTACCATCAGATGAGGCTCCTCATCAGGGAGCAGAGGCCTTGCCCTATGGGGCTCCTGGTCGAGGGGCCTCCTGTGGGGGCCTTTTCAGGATCAGATTTCTCTGAGCCCTGATTTCCTTTTTCCTGGTTCCTCGAGCTGGCCCTGCAGTGGTGGGGGACACCCATATGGGAAGAGACCCAGGAAACAGACCCACCATCCCCTAGTAGGGTCCCCGCAAGCTCTCCCTGGGTTCCCAAAGCAGGGCCTTGCTGTCGGGAGGCAGCCCTGGCTGAGGGCAGGGACGAGGAGGGGGCTCTGGAGGTGGCACACACAGGGCGGTGCCAGCCTCTGGGGCCTGCTAAGCAGCAGAGCATGGAGTGGGCGTCTGTGCTGTAGCCCCCGTCCAGGAGCTTCTCTGAGGATAGGATCTGGTGAGACGGGGCGAGACCCCAGCTCTGGGCACTGCCTCCCACTGACAGGCTTTCTGGGAATGAGCAGGAGGCCGTGTGCCCAGATGACAGGGCCCAGGCAGGTTTCCCACCGTGCTGATCAGGTCCTTCCCCAAGACTGGGCCCCAAGCCCCTTCCGGGCCCCCAGGCCTGGCAGGCAGCCCCTTGCGTTGCCAGGGCCCGGATGATGGAATGCGGGAGGCCCCTGGGCTGGCCCCTCAGCCCCTCCTGCCCACAGAGTCCTGCTGAGATGCCCTCTCTGCTCATAGCACTCATACCCCTCAGGGCCTGGTGTGTCCCCCACAATCCAGCCATGGCAGGTGTGCATGCTCCAGGTGTGTACGCACCAGGTGTGAACTGCTCCAGGTGTGTGTGCTGCAGATGAGCATATTCTGCAGGTGCTCTAGCTGTGGCTGGGAAAACAGCAAGAGATCCCTGCACCGGGTAGGAAGGGTGGCTGTGGCCCCAATCTCCACGCACCTCCATTGCCCTCCTCAGGGCTCTGGCACTATTTGGGGCTCAGAGACCACAGGAAGCACTGGGGAGGAGCGATGGTGTGGGGCTGACCTCACAGCCCCGGACACCCTCCCAGGGTGCCTTGCAGCTCCAGAGTAGAGTGTCCCAGCTGGAATAGGGCCCTAGTCCCTGTGGCAGCACTGTAGGGAGGTCAAGTGCAGACAGATGCTCCCTGCCCACCCAGAATGCCAGCTGATGAAAACAGAGCGGCCCAGGCCCAACACCTTCATCATCCGCTGCCTGCAGTGGACTACGGTCATCGAACGCACCTTCCATGTGGAGACGCCTGAGGAGCGGTATGTGGGGTGAGGGCAAGGGCCTGGCTGTAGAAGGTGGCCTCCAGGGTTGGAGATGGATGCCTGGGTTGGCAGATGGCCCTCCTCAGAGGTCATTTTGCAAACTAGCCTAGGCCTGTAGGGTATGGGTGGGGAAACTGAGGCTGGAAATGAACACAGGGTGGGAGGGGATGCTATCCTGCTGGGGCTGGACCTCAGTGTCCTGGAATGTGTGCAGTCTAGGCCAGGTGGCCCCTCAGGGCTCTGCCTGGGGACAGACAGCCGCCTGAGCTGGAACTGCCAGCTGGCTGTGGGCGATGCATGGTGGAGTCCCTGCTGGTGCCCAGAGTCTCACTTGAGCCCCTGCAGGGAGGAGTGGACAACAGCCATCCAGACCGTGGCTGATGGACTCAAGRGGCAAGAGGAAGAGATGATGGACTTCCGTTCGGGCTCACCCAGTGATAACTCGGGAGCAGAGGAGATGGAGGTGTCCCTGGCCAAACCCAAGCACCGTGTGGTGAGGCCTAGCCCCTGCCTCTGCTGACAGGAGGCCTTGCTCCCTCCCTGGACACCCCCTTGTGTTGGAAGTGAAGTCAGGACAGTGGCCAGAGGGCCTGGGGTGTTGCCCAGTTCTGCTATGAGCACTGGCCTCCCACTTGTCCCACAGGTGTGAGGGTGGGGCCCCAATCCACACCTAGCCTGCCAGAGGTGATACAGGCCCTACCACCTTGTACACTGTCCAGCAGATGGTTCTGCCCCCGGGGCTGGTGGTGCTGAGCAGGGTGCTGACTAGGCTCTACCCACTGCCACAGACCATGAATGAGTTTGAGTACCTGAAGCTACTGGGCAAGGGCACCTTTGGGAAGGTGATCCTGGTGAAGGAGAAGGCCACAGGCCGCTACTACGCTATGAAGATCCTGAAGAAGGAGGTCATCGTGGCCAAGGTATGGGGTGGGCAGCATATGGGGCAGGGACAGGGGACAGGGTGGCCTAGGTGCTCACCTGGCCTTGCCTTTCAGGACGAGGTGGCCCACACACTCACTGAGAACCGCGTCCTGCAGAACTCCAGGCACCCCTTCCTCACAGTGAGTGGGCGCCGTCCTGCCTAGGCAGGGAGGGGCAGGGCAGGAAGACACTGGCACGGGGCTGCTGTCCTGTCTTCCAGGCACACCCAAGGGCTTCACATGTGGCCAGCGGAAGGCTGGGTGAGAGGGCACCTGGTATGGGCCTGGGCAGTGCTTGCTGGCTCAGTGTCCACGGAAGGCAAAGCAGGTGACCTTGGTCTTCCACCCTGCCAAGGCCCTGGGCCCCAAGCACCCCACACCCTGCCTCTCTGTAGACCTCTGTTGAGGTGCAGGCTGGGTGTACCCCTGCCCTGGGGAGCTGGCCCAGGAGTGGCACATGACCAGGGGCCTGTAATATTTCTGAGGGAGGCTCAGCATTGGTCATTAGTGGGCCTTCGCTTCGGACAAGGCTGCTCTGGGCACAGATGGGAAGGTAGCCCTGGCAGCTGGGAGCCTAGGGCCAGAAGCCCCAAGCCAATGCTCAGCTTCTTACCTGATTCTGGTGGCCTCAGAGCCTGGCACACTATCCACTTGAGACCCTAATTTTCCCTTGGACTTGAACCCAGACCCCATATTGCTCGCCTTTAAAACAAGCCCTGTGCCTCTTGGCTGCCTGGGCCCAGCCTGGTGGCCTGTGTCAGGCCTGGCTCCAGCTGTGCTCCATTTCAGGCCTTGAAGTATTCCTTCCAGACCCACGACCGCCTCTGCTTCGTCATGGAGTACGCCAATGGGGGCGAGGTAGGGCTGGGTGAAGTGCTGGGCAAAGGGTGGGTGGACGGATGGCTTTGCTGCCTGAGGTGCCCAGCTTCACAGTGGGAGAACTTCGTGGGTGGCGCTTGTCCCTCTGGGGGCCTCAGACGTCCTGCTCCAGCGGTGTGGTGTTTGGGGGTAGTAGCTGCCTGCTGAGGTGACCCCTCCCCTGCCGGGGTGGGGCGGAGCCTCCTGCCGCCCCTTAGGCTCCCCTCCCGCAGCTCTTCTTCCACCTGTCCCGCGAGCGTGTGCTCCCCGAGGACCGGGCTCGTTTCTACGGCGCAGAGATCGTGTCGGCCCTGGACTACCTGCACTCCGAGAAGAATGTCGTGTACCGCGACCTCAAGGTGCGCCACGGGCTGGCGGGAGCCAGGGGGTGGGGCTTGGCGTCAATGACCAGGACCTCCCTGCACAGCTGGAGAACCTCATGCTGGACAAGGACGGGCACATTAAGATCACGGACTTCGGGCTGTGCAAGGAGGGCATTAAGGACGGCGCCACCATGAAGACCTTCTGTGGGACACCTGAGTACCTGGCCCCTGAGGTGGGTGTCCCTACACATGTCATGTGTGTACTATGGCACTGAGCACCCCACCCTCTTGCCCCTCCTCTCCAGTGTCCTGGCACGCTGTGACACTGAGCCCCTGTTCAGGTGCTGGAGGACAATGACTATGGCCGGGCCGTGGACTGGTGGGGGCTGGGTGTGGTCATGTACGAGATGCTGTGCGGCCGCCTGCCCTTCTACAACCAGGACCACGAGAAGTTGTTTGAGCTCATACTGATGGAGGAGATCCGCTTCCCTCGCACGCTGGGCCCAGAGGCCAAGTCCCTGCTCTCCGGGCTGCTGAAGAAGGACCCCAAGCAGAGGTGAGGGCGCCAGCCTGGCTACAGCTTTGCTCCTGGCCCTGCCCCAGGTGTGCTTAGAGCCGTGCCCAACAGTGAGGGACAGTGCTCATCTGTGGCCTGTGCTCAGCGTCCTCAGGGGGGGTGCAGGCCCAGGCAGAGGGGCGGGGCAGGCCCAGGCAGAGGGGCGGGGCAGGCCCAGGTTGGGGGCGGACCTCAATCTGCTGCAGCTCTAACTGCGGGGCTTCCCACAGTTGTTCAGAGGGGCATGCTGGGTCCCACCAGAGGTGCTGCCCGGCTAAGCGTGGCCTGAGCCTCTCGCTTGTCTCCCTGCAGGCTCGGCGGGGGCTCCGAGGACGCCAAGGAGATCATGCAGCACCGCTTCTTTGCCAGCATCGTGTGGCAGGATGTGTATGAGAAGAAGGTGCCAAGCTCCCCATGCACCCAGTTGCGACTGGCTCCTCCCCTGCGAGCATGCTCACTTCTGCACATGCGCACAGCCGCCAGGGAGCGTACCCTTCCCTCACACACAGGGTAGTGCGTGGCTGATTGGCACACTGGCCACTGGGCCTGCCGAGGCCCGGCGACCAGGAGCTTTGTCCATGCCCCTCTGTGGCCTGCACGCAGAGGGTCTGACAAAGCAGCCGTCCTCCTGGAAGCTGGCCCAGCCCTTCCTCCTCCCCCAGAGGAACTGCACACACCCTGTGCCTCGCCTGCACTGCATCTGGTGCCAGTACCAGGGCCCCTCCCCAGTGCTGCACGGGTGGGGGCTGGCTGGGGTGGCACCCCCTGCTCGCTACCGGTTCCTCTAGGGTTCGACCTCAGGCCCTGCTGCTGCTAGGAGAGCTATGCCCCCTTGAGTGTGGGGGACAGCACCGGCTCTACCAGCAGTGTGGAGTCCACCAGCAGGCAGAAGGGCTGTACTACATGAGTCCTGTCACTGAGCACACCCTTGCCGAATGCCCATCACAGTTCACATGTGACTGATGGGTTAGGCCCATGCCTCAGTCCTCCCTGCAACACAGGGTCCCTTGCTCTTGCCCAGCTTCCTGACACCTTCTGCCCAGCCCTGACCCAAAACCACACGAGTCCTCTAGGGGTAGTCCTGTCCTAAGGTGACTAAGGACAGTGCCTGCCTGTGACCCTGGGGCCACTGGAGGTCCTCTCCCAGCTGTGTTCTTGCCCAGCTGAATGCTGTGTGCTCCCTGGGCAGAAAGAGGCAGGCAGGCTCACCCGGTGCCCTGGCCCAGTCTGCTTTTGACCTTTTCCTTCCCCATTCTTAAGAAAACCTGAGTAAATGATAGCCAGGGAGGGAACAGGACTGTCCCTCCCCTTACTGTTGGGGTTCCCAGGGGCACCCCTCCCAGAGCCGTGCCCTTCTCAGGATGGCACTGCTGCCTGGGGGAGCTCAGGCACTGGAAGGGTCCAGCTCCTCCTGAGGTGGGGTTTGCTGGGGAATGGAGGGAGGCCTCTAACCTGTTTTTCCTGTCCCCCACTGCAGCTCAGCCCACCCTTCAAGCCCCAGGTCACATCAGAGACGGATACCAGGTATTTTGATGAGGAGTTCACGGCACAGATGATCACCATCACACCGCCTGACCAAG